CTCTTTCCCCTTTTAAATCAAAACTCTCTTGCAAGATTTGACTGTGATTGCCTCTTCTTTCCCTCAATTTCCCATTCTGACTTGAAACCTCTCCAATCAAGTTTCCATCCCATCACAAGAAAAGTCTCTTAAAAAGATAAAAGATGCATAAATGATCTATCGCCATGTTACTAAAGCCAATGGCCTCATCTTACCCTACCCAGCAGCCACTTTTGCCCGGGGTGTTCTTGAACCTCTTTTTTTATTGGCTTCCTGGAACCTGCTCTCTTGTTTCTCCTCCTACTTCACTTACTAGTCATTCTGCCTTAGCCACCTTCCTGGTTGTTCTCCAACCTGTAAAGTCTGACCTTTGTCTATTGATCACCATCCTATGCCCAAACGCATAGAATCCCATAGAATGAATAAATACATAGAATATGTTTTTGTTTTGTTCTGTAAAAATAAGGCCATGTCATTCACAGTTTTGTATATTGCTCTTTCAATGCTACAAAACATCGTGGATATCCCTCTAAGTCAGCTGGTAAGGCTCAAATTAATTCTCATTTTTGAAACATGTATTTATTGATTTTAGAGAGTGAAATGGGGGGGGGGATTCATCATTTCACTTATTTAATGCATTCCTGTGGATGATTCTTGTACGTGCCCTGACCAGGGATCTAACCTGAAAACTTGATGTAGCTGGATGATGCTCTAACCAACTGAGCTACCCAACCAGGCCTCACATTCATTCTTCTTTATGTCTGGATTATATTCTATGAAGTAGGGATGCAATAATTTAAGTATTCCAATTTTATGAACAATTCTTTATATTTATTTATTTTAATTTTATTTTTTTAAATATATTTGTTATTGATTTCAGAGAGGAAGGGAGAGGGAGAAGGGATCAATAATGAGAATCATTGATCGGCTGCCTCTTGCACACCCCCTGCTGGGGGTTTAGCCTGCAACACGGGCATGTGTCCTTGACCAGAATCAAACTTGGGACCCTTTAGTCTGCAGGCCAAAGCTCTATCCACTGAGCCAAACCAGGGAGAGCTATATTTATTTTTTTTACTGTGATGAATAATGTGGTAATTAACATCCTTCCATTTTTTATTCCTGTTGGGTAGTTTCCCAGGAGTAGGATTGCTGAAACCATGGATACATGTATATTAAATAATAGCTATGTTGTGATTGCTTCTCACAAAGCCTATATTAATATTTTTGTTAACAGTGTTCTCTATTGCTGTATTCAAAAGGTGTTTTTACTCTTTCAAATTTTTGCCAGTATGATATAAAGCATTTTTTATCTAGATGTTGAGTAACCTGTGACTGTATTACGCTCAGGTTACTATATGTATATTATTAATTGCAGTCTCCTAAAAGCCTGTAAATGGCGGAGCCAGGATATAAACCGAGGCAGTTCGGTTCTGGATATATATTATTACATTTCTTCTTCATTAGAGGAGCTACTAAAATGTGGCGTTACTAATCCAGTGCTTAACTGATTAAGTCAGATTGCTTTGCAATGCTTTTCTGAGGAAGGCAGTATTTCAAAGGCATGGTGCTGGGGCAGGCAAGTGTCTGAAATATTTCCTCCTGGATGTCTAAGCCAAGAGTGTTGGCAGGGCTTGGGAAGGGAGGCAGTGAGCAGGAGTGTGGTGCAGGAAGCCAGTGCCCCGACCCAGTGGACCCTTAGGTCACTCCTCTGATGGACTCTACAAAGCATTTCCCCAATTTCGGCTTGAGTAACCATGGAGATTAGTTAGGAAAGCCACTCCTGAGACGGCAACAGAAATCTCATATTCATTCCAGGTATCCAACCAGCTTTCATGTTTGCATCTTCCTGCCTTCCCCCAGTAGGCTCGCTAATTGTGTACATTATCTCCAGGACTTCTCTTTAGTCATTGGGACTCACACACATGGAGAAGTTGTCTCTAGTACTTTCAGCGTGTGGAAACTGTAACTGTTATAAAGAACAGCGGGTCTGTGAGTCAGAGATTTCTGCCAAAGAGAAACACAAAATAAAGCCCTTTCACAAACATAATAAATAGGAGGGGAGGAGGAAGAAGAGAGAGAGAGAGAGAGAGAGAGAGAGAGAGAGAGAGAGAGAGAATTCTGCTATCAAGCCACCCAATTTCTCGACTACCTCTGAGTTAGTTTCAACAGAGGGGGCTGCTCAGTCCTTCCCAGTAAAGAGTGAGAAATGTTTTATGTCCAAGGAACGCACTCAAAATGGATCTAAATAGGGTTTTCTCTACACTAGGTTAGGACAGCATCTGGAGACAGCCTGGCAAAGCATGTTTTCCCTTTTATTTAACATGAAAATTGAAATTAATGAAACTCACATTGTTTCATGTCCGTGCATAGCCTCGCACATTTGGGGTCTGACTAGAAACTATATAAACTTTGGTGATAAGAGAGATTTACCACATACCATTAACATGTTTATTTTTAGACAAACTTCTTTTGTCAGCCAAGCTTTTTTTATAAATCTTCTAGTTCACCAATTTTGGTTTTATTATTATTATCTACTATTCTTATCATCCAGCCATTAGTGAAAAAAAGAAGCAGCAAGAGAGAAAATGAAGAGAAGCAGTGAGCCCAGATCAAGCTGTGTCCCAGGCCACTCCAACTATGATATATAAGGATGGGCTTGAAGAAATTAGTTCTGCGTCTGATTGTCCTTTACTCATAAAACCATGCTCCATCTTCCCGTAAAGATATGCTACTACTTGTATTGTTCTATCTAAAAATGGATTGTAAAATAAACACAATTTACCACGTAGGCTAATAGGATTGACTGTTCATTTTAACAAGCACCACGCTAATAAATCCAAGGACATAGATGTCACCTCCTAAAAGCCTCATAGCTTTGCCTGTTTGATGGTTTGAAGCTGCTGTTGGCTGTGCTGTATCAAACCATATCTGCATATGTCTAATTCATTTATTTTCTCCCAGCACCAGCCTTTCACATCTGCCTTCTCTTTTACTACTCTTTCTGGTTCTCCTTTTTCTCTTCCTTTCACTTATCACTTATTCTCTGTTGTAACCTGGGTACATTTTTAGGCTCAGTGTTTATAGCAAGGAATAAGACATTCTTTATTTTCAATATGCTCGAAGTCTAGCTAAAGAGAAATACAAAACAACAACAACAATTATTACAACATAATTTGATAAAGTGATATGTATAGTGGTATATATGGAGGAGGAAACACCCAAATGACCTGAGGTGAGGATCAAGAAGACATCAGAAAGGGAATTCTTCTTGATGTTTGTCCTAATAAGAGGACCTCAAAGGAGGGAATACCTCTCCAGATATTTCATTACTATCTTCCAAGTGTATAGTATAGGGCCTTTCATAAAGACATGCCAAGTGATTGAATGAATGAATATTCTAGTTAGAAAAGTGATAAAATGTATTCCAAGAGGATGGGGCATCGTGCCCAAAGACAAAGAAGCAACAGGGAAACTGGTTAGTATGTACTGAGCCAAAAATGACAAAGAAAAAAAATAAAATAAAAAACATTTGATTTTTTTTAAGATGATAAGATTACAAGTAATTTTCCTATGTTTTTTATAAATGAAAGTTACAGTTTATACTATTCGTGGGAGCAAAATATTTTGCTTTAAAAAAATCTTACCTGTTTATCAATTTTTTATCCTACTTTTTTCTTAGTTGTATACCAACAATACTGTCTAGGTTGCTACAAAACCTTCATAATTATTTTGTAAATGGATGCATGATAGCACTTTAAGTTTCCTCATCACTTACCTAACCATTGTTCTTGTGGGTTTTTTTTTTCTTTTTCAGTATTATAATTAACCATAAAAAAATGCCATTCCTTGCCCTAACTGGTTTGGCTCAGTGGATAGACTGTCGGCCTGTGGACTGAAGGGTCCCAGGTTCGATTCTGGTCAAGGGTATATACCTTGGTTGCGGGCACATCCTCAGTAGGGAGTGTGCAGGAGGCAGCTGATCAATGTTTCTCTCTCATCAATGTTTCTAACTCTCTAACCTTTTCCCTTTCTCTCTGTTAAAAAAAAATAATCAATAAGATATATATTTTTAAAAAATGCCATTCCTGGGAGGGGACAGGAGAAGTGATGTGTGTAGTTCAGTGGGAGCTGTACTTCCACAGGAAGCCATGTCTCGTGTCCCTCCCAGAGCTATTAAAAGCTCTACAAAGGATTTTATGGACCTTGAATAATCTCCCCAACCCAAATCACATTTGGATCAAGATTTCTCCAACTGGAGTCGACAGTGGCTATCAAAATAACCAGTGACCTCAAGAATCAAGTGTCTCGCTCCGAGGGAGAGCTAGTGGCCATGTCTCCTCTCTCACTGCCTCAGAAAGATGCTCAGAGAGATGCCCTGAGCTAGCTCAGCCTCCTGAAGCTAAATCACAGGGACAGCTGCAGTGACAGGAGTGATGAGCAATCCCAGAAGGACTTAGAGACCATGATGATGAATGTAATGCTTTAACTTGACTGGGGCACCCGAGGGACTCTCAGGCCCTCTCAGTCCCACCGCTCGGAGCTTCCTTAGTCTCAGCACTGATTTGGTCTCAGCCATTTGGAAAAGGTCCGTGAGTGGTAACTGT